GCGTACTCTCCACGCCGTATGCCGTACGCATCGCACGCATGCCCACCCCACACACACAGCGACACGCACACGGCGCACTGCCGCGCACACACACACACACACACACACACACAACACACACACATACACACGCACGCGCCCGGCTGCGCCGCGCCACTGCACAGGCCGCCACACGCGCACGCGCGCGCACACGACACACACACACACACGCACTACGCAACACGCGCACACGCGCACCCACGACACAGCCGCACGCGGCACACTACGCACACGCCACACGCCACGCACACAACACACACAACACACACACACACACACACACACACACACACACACACACACACACACACAACCACACGTGCACGCTCGCGTTCACTCACGCGTACCTGCGGTAGGTTCGTGCAGGTGCACATACACACAGGTACAGGTTTTGATACAGTTGTCCAACCTTGCTCCCACAGCCACCGTGCGTGTTCGTACCCCCTCTGCTTCTCCCATGACTGCTACCCCCCAGGGGTTTATGGGTCAGTGCGGCCGAATGACCCACCATAATAGAAAATGTGGACATATCCGATGCTAGCCAGGCGACACACACATCTACCCCATAAGCACGTTAGCCGAGTCGAGGACTGCGCGCCGAAGGAAGGGCAAGGGCCTCTCTGAAGCGGTGGCAGAATGGGAGAGAGAAAGATAGGAGGATTGACCGCCAGGAGGAGGAATTGTGTTCAGTTGTCTAGACCGCGGACGGTATAAGGTTATTCCCTGGGCAGCCACCTTCACACTCAACCCCCGTCAATTCACTCTCGTATTCTCAACCGCGAATCAAATCGCACTTCAATCTACACTGACACCGTCACTCGCACATACATAGCCTCAGCTGCACGCACTGTCAATTTACACTCCCATCGTTACGCCTGCATACATATACGTTTACCTTTACCGCCTGCCACTCTACACTCTCGCCGTCACATCATCACCTTTACTATTTTCTACCTAATTTCACCTTTTTTTTTTAACCCGCTCTCATGCTCGCCCAAACACCGTCACCGCTGTCTATCCACCCACAACCGCGGTTGATTAGCACCCACACTCTGACCCTCACCGCCTGTCCAACACATCCCCGCGATCACCGCCTGTAGAACCCACACCCTCACGCTCTCCCCTATTCTCTCCTATCCCCAAACCCCTTCCTCCTCTCCTCTCCCCTCCCCCTCTCTCTCTCTCTCTTTCAGCTTTTTCTTCTTCTTCTTCTTCTTCTTCTTCTTTTTCTTCTTTCCTCTGACGGAAAATACCAGTGTAATATATGGCCGCGCCTACTCCGTGGTGATGCATTCCCTGCCACCTGTTCGCACACGTTCCGCGTTCGGTGATGATCGTTCATATAATATATCATATATATCATATATAATATACGCATATTATGCGTTCACCGTGACTCGTAGTACGGACGACCTCCATGCAACTCCAGAATATTTTGTAACGTAGGAGCAGCGTAGATAATAAGATATAATAGTAATAATAGGAGTAAAGTAGAGTCTGACGGACAACTACCTATGAACTCCATGACGAACGTTGGTGATTCGCTTCAGCTATTATTACCACGCAGCCCGCGTTTGCCTGGACGTTGCTGAGCGTGCGCGCACACGCACGCACGCACGCGGGGGCTACGCAACGCACGCGCCATACACCATACACCACGCAACGACGGCTTTGCGGCCGCATCTGTTGCATTGCACGCCATTGCCACGCGGTCACACCACAACAGCATGTACGGTCATTAGATCACTACCGTACTCAACAAGCACTACTTAGCCTACTTACTGCACGATTAGCGCGTCGTAAGCGACGATACGTGACGAGTCGCCGGTAGCAACAATGTTGCCGCAGCGATTGGTGTCTCATTCCTTGAGTTTGTTATGTCCTGTCACACTGCCACCGCCCCGTTTCCGTCTGCAGGCACCGCGAACTAAAATATACCCCGAGACACAGAATTTAGGAGCACAAGATCTCTTCAATCTGCCAGATTGTTTATCAGTCTCTAAAGACTCCCTCTCCCTCTTTCGCACGACGTCGTTCTTCGTTTTCTCCGTTTGCTCGATCGATCGATCGGTCCGTACTGTCCGTCCAGTACCATCCACATCGCCATCAATCCATTCATTCTATCCATACATACATACATACATACATTCATCCATCCATCCAATTATCGCATTCATCCTATCTATCTATCATCTATCTTATCTATACTATCTAATCTATCTATCTATCTATATCTATTCATCTAATCTTCTATCTATCTAATCTATCTATCTACTATCTAATCTATCTATCAATCTATCTATCTATCTATCTATATATCTATTATTTAGCACTAAGCCTATTGACTGCCTGCCTGCTGACCTACCTACCTACCTACCTGCCTACCTGCTACCCCCTACTTACCTACCTAGCTTACCTACCTGCCTACCTGCCCTTATCTAGTATGTTCTACTCTGTTCTCACTCTTACCTACCCATCTCTAAACGTTTTCGTTCTCCTCGGCGTGGTGTTGGCTTTAGCGAGCGTACAACAGCTCGGGGAAAACCTGTTAGAAGGTTATGGCGCTTGACTATTATCGTGCGTAAGAGCGCTGGGAAAGGCCGTCAAAGATCTGTCCGCAGTGGGACCAGGACAAAGGCGTCGGGAGCCATATAAAGCCGTTGGTCATCCAGTCCCTTTTGTTCGGGCGACGCGCTACGGATAAATCCCACACCTCCGCGCTACACAACGGGTGACGTCATGTCCGTAATTCCTTTCAACAATCAATTTGCGCGCGTTGTATATGTACTTATACTAGTATAATTATGATATATATATATATATATATATATAATATTATATATACATATTATCCGATGATATTACTATATATGTTTGTGCACGTCGCGCGTGAGAGAGAGATGGCAAGTCATGTGTGTATGTGCGTATGTGGTGGGGCGCGCATGTAGTGTGCGTCACGCGCGCGGTGTTGGTTCTGGTATTGCGCTAATAAAATGTCTGTGAACGTAATAACATCTCAATAATATCGGGCTTCTTACGTAAAGTACGCGAGACAATAGAGTCTAAAAATCCGCACAAACTCAGCGTCTAGATTATCTCTGTCGGTTCATAGCACCAATGCTTTAATTTCGGCGCGATTTCAATTCATCAAGTACTGGACTACCTGTACCAGGGGTAGGGAACTTTGGTACCAATTTGATCTACTATATAGATGCGAATCTACCTAAGTATATGATTTACCTGTACTCAGATAGCCGCCCACTTCTGCGTTCGTAGATGGACCTACCCCTTAGATGATCAACCTATAGCAATATTATCTACCTGTACCAGATTATAACCTACAGTATATTATCTACCAATAAAGAATGATCATACGTAACCTGTACTAAATTAACTTTCTTATTTTTATATCGAGCTACCTGTTTGTATCGACGCATAGCTGAAGTGATGACCAACCTGTATCAATTAATCAACATACAATAATCAATACCTATAGTAGAATTATTCTACTTGAAACTATCTATCTACGATCTATCTGCGTAGATCGACCTACATGTATAAATTTTGATCTACCTACACGAGATTTATCTACCTGTAGTAAGATTATCTACCTGTACCATATGTTCTAGTTCCCCACCAACGTCCTAGATTTATCCGATCTGTAACAGATTATCGAATCTGTAATAGATCATCTACCTGTAATATATTTCACTATGCTGTAACGATTACGATCTGTAATTAGATTCCATCTACCTGTAAAAGATTCATCCCCTCCCTACACCAGATCATAACCTGCCTAATAGATATCATCTACCTGTAATCATTGATCTACGGCTGTAAATAATTCATCTAACGTGTAACAGATTCATAAACATGTAATAGATCATATACCTTAAATAGATCATAATACCTTAATAGATTCATGCTACCTGTAAATAGATTGATCTAGCCTGTAATAGATTGATCTACCTGTAATATGATATCTACCTAATACACTTAGCTATTTCGTAATATTGCGAGCGCGGTAAACACCCGCTAAAACGCTGCGACTGTACGCAACGTAGCACAATGACGATTAGTACCCGTGGTGCTTGCGTGAAAGAGCTAGTAGTGACCAGAAGAACGGAACAAATGCCGCGAGGTACACTGCAATTTGTGTACAGCATGTGTGCGTCGTCGAGCGACGGTACAGTGTCCGCAGGCCCGCCGGCCATCAGCCGCACATCATTCACTTTTGCGAACGAAAATTTTGCCTCGGTCCGGCGTAAACGCTGCTCTCTCTCTCTCTCTCCCTCTCTCCGCCTCGCTCGCTCTCCTCTTTCGTTCTCGCCACGAGCACGGCTTAGGTGACACACAATTGCTGTCGCGAGCAGAACAATGAAAGACCATTTAGTCCGCGTTTCTTCGATCGCCCAAGCACAACGTATTCTCACAATGAATATTTTGTGACAATAGTAGTGTACGAAGATGCAATCGTAGAAAAACGGAACGTAAGGTGCGGGAGGGACGCATATATGCCATATGGTTGTTAAAGTAATATAGAGATATATAAGTAGCTATGAGTAGATATCAAACATATGCAGCACCTGCACACACATGCAAACACAACCCCGCAAACGGACACACACAGACATGCACAGCGCACACACAACACAGCACACCACATCAACTCACGCACACCGCACGCTGCACACGCACACAGCGCACCGACGCACACCACAACACACACACACATCTACACACACACACACACACACGCGGGCACTGCACAACACCACCACAAACATAACCACACGCACACAAGCAGCAACGCACGACGGTGTTGTGCACGCACGCACACGCCCACGCACACGCACCCGCACGCAGTCAGCGTCACACATACCTAACACATATTCACTTGCATATACCGAAGAATAACACAACAACGCGTGCATTGAATGTCCGAATTATTTCGTACTGACCTGATTGGACGATTCGGCTGCGATCCGGCGTCATCTCGCCCTCGGGATTCCCGAGAAACACCTTCACACTGTCGCGCACGAGAAAAGAGTCCGGGCTCTTCGCGACGAGTTCAACGACGCTCTCCAACGGCCGCACGGCCTTGCCCTCCTCGGACAGCACCTCGAACCAACCCTTGTACGAGGCCGGTATGGACACCTTCGGCCCGACGACGGACACGTGCGACTTGCGCGACGAGTCCTTGATCTTGATGCACTGCGCGAGCACCTTCACCATCTTGTACGACGAATGCAGGAAGATGTTCTGCGCAAGATTGACGTCGGTGATGATGCCTGGCACGCCGATGCAGGAGTACTGACCCTTGCTGACGCGAGCCAACTGCGGCAGCTGGTAGACACGAACGAAATCCTTCAAGTAAATGCTCTCCTCCGACCATTTCACGGCGGCGCCGAGCGGCACGTCCTGACACGTCGACATCGCACCTAGCTGTCAGTGGTGGCGACGGCAACGATGACGCTGCGCTGTCAGTGGCGGCGACCGCAACGATGACGCTGCGCTGTCAGTGGCGGCGTCCGTAACGTTGACACTGCGCTGTCAGTGGCGGCGACCGCAACGTTGACGCTGCGCTGTCAGTGGCGGCGACCGTAACGTTGACGCTGCGCTGTCAGTGGCGGCGACCGTAACGTTGACGCTGCTGCGTCCGCTGGACGGCACGACACGTGCCACACTCCAGGTTTCCCGATGATGATGATGACGACGATGGTGTTCGTAACGCGTTCTCTTTGATCAGCCACCGTTTGATGTTTTTTGTTGTCTTACACCGTCACCTGACTACACCACGGATACGGGCATAGATGAATACAGTCACGATCGCTCACTCGCTCGCACACACACACACACATACATACATACGCGCGCGGGTCGTTCGCTATTCATGCACGCACATGCTCACGCTCACCGCGTCTCACTCGAATGACCGAGATCCAATCGTACAGCGCCGACTTACTCTCTCGCCGCGCCCGCGTCCGACGCCAGCGCCGTCTTGCGGTATCCGGAGGCGGCTGCCGAGCGCGCACACACGCAAGGAATGTCGGCCTGATGACGTCAGGCGAGTTACAACACCTACACGAGGAATGCGGCCCATCCACCTGTAAGGCGACGGTACGTTACTATGTTTGGCGATTCCAAACGGCGTATGAACTTCGTGGTATTCGCGCCTCGACAGCAAGACGGCTTAACGTTTCTCGCGTTTTTATTTTCTCGTGCGAACCATCGTATACGTAGTTATAAATACCACGCATATGGAACGTGGGGGGAAATGTATTAGGAAACGAGAGGGATATTTTCTATCGGTCCACATCTGAGCTCTGTCGCCGCCAATGACAGTGCAATATTTTAATTGATTCTAAAAACTACGACAGTATACTGTGGGTACCCGCTGCCGGAACCCGTGGGCTGGATTACGTAAATGCTAAGCTGGTGACGTGACGTCGTGATGTAGGTGTGGGGCGGTGACATCACTTTCTAGAATCTCTTTCTGGGAACTATGAAGAAGTTTGCTCTTTAATAATGAGTCTATTCAGTTTCTGTTTCTTGAGTAGTACGTACGAACAAAAAACACGTGTAAATTATTTCTATACACTAGGAGTGAGATCTTAAAGGATATTTATATCCTTAATATACCTCTCCTACTATGATGCCTCTGGTATTATACATACGCGGGGCTGCGGTTTAGAAAGCACCAACCGCACACATTTTTCCTACATTTCCCAACTCACTAAATAACAGGGAAATTATAGCGAGACGACCATGTGGGAATGAAAGCGGACTGCACATTTATGCCTACCTTGCCAAAAAGGAAATTATTATGTCTTTGTTTCGTGCGAATCAACGTCTCATGTTGTTTGACTTGTGCGTGTATCACGCAATTCACGATCAAATGTTCTGAGCTACGTCGCGGAATCAACCGTCGGCATATGGTGGCGCCATCTGTCGATTGTAATCGTTGCATTTAAAGATTTGCGTCTTTGTACGGGAAAAATTGCGCTTTTTTCTACACACTACCTTCCGGACTGTCCGAAGATTACCGTCGGAGGCATTTACCGCTGCTACGCCGCTATCAATGGAATACTGAATGGAAGCTGCAAAACATAAATAATAAACATGCTTTTTCGCGCAGACAGGTGGCGGTTCCATGCTGCAATGCACTTGCGTAAACGCGATGTGCAACAGTAAAGGTACAGTAACTATAGTAAGGAAATCAGCAAATAAGCGCCTATGATAATGTACATGAATATGGCGCTCGGACGTCCGTCGCCGTTGACTGCCAAGAAAATGTTTTTCGGCCGTTATACGTTCAAACTGGAGCCGGACGGGCTGACAGCACGTGTGCATGGTAAAATCTTATCTACATGATTCACTTGGCTCGCAGCATCGCGCCACGATTCCCAGCTATGCTAATGTACAGGGAAATGGCGCACCGACGTCGGTCGCCGTTGACTGCCAAGATAATTTTCTTCGGCCATTCTTATAATGAAGAGGGGTTATCCCAGCATATATTTCCATGATAATATTACATCAGTAGACCTCACTTATGAAATAGGAAGCATACCTTGCATGTAGGGTCTCCGCTGCATAAACCAGTCGGTACACAATCTGACTACGTTACTGTTTTAGCGCATGCGCAATGTCTCAGCAGAGGAGTTATATTTTGTGCTGAAAATGCAATTAATATGGTCAGGGGGTATCTCAGCATAGGCTTCTGTAATAAATTCTTATCAGTAGACCTGTGTTTATAATTAGGAGAGCGCCCTAGCCAGTAGGGTGCAAAACTACTACTTCATCCCTGGCCGCCCCTCCCCTTTGTCTCCCTTGTCGCACGCTCAGCCTCCTTCTTCCACCGCCCCTCGGCTGTCTTCCCTGCCACTTTCCCACAGTCTCCAACCCCTCTCTCCCGCAGCAAGCTATATTACGTACTTTTATATAAGCCGTACTGCACGTCTGAAACGGTGCTCGCGCATGCGCAATCTTGCCAAAGGAGAAGATAATATTTTGACAAAATTTCGAGTTTCAAATGAGGAGGGGTTATCCCAGCATAGATTTCTGTGATAATATTCCGTTATTAGACCTCACTTATGAAATAGGAAGCAGACCTTGCATGTAATGTCCAGGTTGCATATACCAGTCAGTACACAATCTGGCTACGTTACTGTTTTAGCGCATGCGCAATATCTCAACAGAGGAGTTATATTTTGTGCTGAAATGCAGTCAGAATGGTCAGGGGGTATCTCAGCATAGGTTTCTGTAATAAATTATTATCAGTAGACCTGTGTGTATAACTAGTAGAGCGCCTTAGCCAGTAGAGTGCTGGATTGGAGTATCTGAGCATAGGTCTCTGTAATAAATTCATATCAGTAGACCTGTGTGTATAATTAGGAGAGCGCCCGGTATCAGGCGCAGTATTGTCATCAGAGTCAATTATGTGCATTTCGAGTTTGATTTTAAGTCATTCCGATAGTTAATTATGGGCATTTTGAGTCATTTCGACTCTTCGAGACATTTAGTGTCATGTCGTGTCATGTCGAGGCATTTAGTGTCGGGCTTTTTGTGTGTTTACAGCTGTCTGTCTGTTACTGCAGTGCCGTCTGAGGCAAACTTTATAATATAGCTTCCTGAGGGGGATAGGGGATGGGAGACTGAGGAAATGCGGCAGGGAAGGTAGCTGGGGGCGGTTAAAGAAGAAGGAGGCTGAGCGAAGGACAGGGGAGGCAAGGGAAAGGACGCGAGGGCATAAAGTAGGTGCGAATGATTACGCGTGAAATGCACATCTGTCCAGCAGCTCGTCTGCTAGCCCCCAACCTAGCTATTTCTAATCTGTATGCTAAATGCCGAACCCTTTTTCTATGTACAACTAAACTATCTACAATTACTAATGCAATGTACCATGTGCAAAACAGATGTTACAACGTTTTCTCTGAAGATATTGCGCATGCGCGCGCACCGTGTTAGGCGTGCAGAGCCGTCTAAGACAAACTTCATAATATAGCTTGCTGAAGGGGAGAGGAGATGGGAGACTGAGAAAAGGCGGCAGGGAAGATAGCTGGGGGCGGTTGAAGAAGAAGGAGGCGGAGCGAGAGACAGGGGAGGTAAGGGAATTTAAGGACGCGAGGGCATAAAGTAGGTGTTTTGCACCCTACATGCTAGGGCGCTCTCCTAATTATAAACACAGGTCTACTGATGAAAGTTTATTAGGGAAATCTATGCTGCAATATCCCTTAACCATTTTAAATGTATATTCATTACAAAATATAACTCCTATGGTGAGATATTGCGCATGCGCTAACACACTAACGTAGCCAGATTGTGTACTGGCTGGTATACGCAGCGGGGACCTTACATGCAAGAATTACCTCATAATTCTTAGATGATGACTACTGATAAAATGTTATCAGATAAATCTATGCTAGGATAACTCGTCTTCATTTTAAATGGATAATCTTTGCAAAATACGAGTTCTCTCGGGAGATATTGCGCATGCGCACGCACCGTGTTGGGCGTGCAGTGCCGTCTGAGACAAACTTCATAATATAGCTTGCTGAGTAGGAGAAGGGATGGGAGACTGAGGAAAGGCGACACGGAAGATAGCTGGGGACGGTAGAAGAAGAGGGAGGCTGAGCGAGGGACAGGGGAGTCAAGGGAAAGGACGCAAGGGCATAAAGTAGGTATTTTGTACTCTACATGCTAGGGCGCTCTCCTAATTATAAACACATGTCAACTGATAAAAGTTTATTAGGGAAATCTATGCTGAAATACCCCCTAACCATTTTAAATGCATATTCATCACAAAATATAACTCCTCTGGTGAGATATTGCGCATGCGCTAACACCATAACATAGCCAGATTGTGTACTGGCTGGTATACGCAGCGGGGACCTTACATGCAAGGTCTTCCTCATAATTCTTAGATGATGACTACTGATGGAATGTTATCATATAAATCTATGCTAGGATAACTCCTCTTCATTTTAAATCTATAATCTTTGCAAAATACGAGTTCTTTCGGAAGATATTGCGCATGCGACCGCACCGTGTTAGGCGTGCAGAGCCGCCTGAGACAAACTTCATAATATAGCTTGCTGAGGGGGAAAGGGGATGGGAGACTGAGGAAAAGCGGCAGGGAAGATAGCTGGAGGCGGTTGAAGAAGAAGGAGGCTGAGCGAGAGACAGGGGAGGCAAGGGGAAGGATGCGAGGGCATAAAGTAAGTGTTTTGCACCCTACATGCTAGGACACTCTCCTAATTATAAACACAGGTCTACTGATAAAAGTTTATTAGGATAATCTATGCTGAGATATCCCCTAACCATTTTAAATGTATATTAATTACCAAATATAACTCCTATGGTGAGATATTGGGCTACGTTAGTGTGTTAGCGCATGCGAAATTTCTCGCCAGAGGCGTTATATTTTGTGATGAATATGCATTTAAAATGAGGAAGAGTTATCCTAGCATAGATTTCCATTATACCATTCCATCAGTAGACATCAATTAAGAAATAGGAAGAAGACCTTGCATGTAAGGTCCCCGCTGCGTATACCAGCCAGTACACAATCTGGCTACGTTATGGTGTTAGCGCATGCGCAATATCTCACCAGAGGAGTTATATTTTGTGATGAAT